TTGAGCGATTTATATACACTTACATATACATAAATATACAGATAATTAAAGATAAAAAGGATTATTAAGAGAGAGAGAGAGAGATAGATATAGTGAGTTAGTGAGAGAGAGAGGAACATAGAGAAAGGGTGAGATACAGATATAGACAGAGAAGAACTTCTAATTAATTGTTTGCTTTGAATATCTTTTTTATTTCTTTGTCTCTCTTAATAACCGACAACACTTCCATTAAGATGAAGCAGGTGTTATTGTGAAGATTTTAGGAAAACTAATTAACTTCTTCATTCGCTCACTTCAGATGATCAAATGGCTTCTTTGATCAAATGAGAATAAACCATCATCATCATCATCATCATCATTCCTTCTTCATCCATATGGTCACACATCCCCCTCTTCCTCTGTTTTCAAATAAAAATACAGATTTAATGGAATGTAAATGATGAGTCTCTTCATTTTCTTTTGTGTCATGCGAAAACTTAATCAAAATCATTCATTTTGTTGTTAATGTATGGTCATAAATCCTACAGATTAGCATGAAAACACAATGAAATAACTTAAAAGGATCTCTAAAGAGGAAACAGACAGAGGAGAATGAGCAATACAGAGCGATAATAGGAGATAGAGAGAGAGAGAGAGAGAATAGAGTAAGAGGGAATAAAAAACATTGTAAGGGTTAGAAGAAGAAAAATGAAGGGAAAGCCGTCAAACAGAATTTTTCATTGCCTCAAATGAAACAGTTGATCCTTATGATAAATGGTGAAATCCAATATCCCTATTTGTCACCTTTTTTGGATGGGAGAGATGAGGAGAACAGAAAGCAGTCAGATCTTTCTCATAAAATTGTAGATAAAGTTTTTTTATTTAAGAAATGTTGTGAATGGTTTATATACAGAAAAGGTTCGCCCCTAGTGATGAATGACTTATTCAACACAGTTTGATGACGATGATGATATGAAATAGATAAGAAGTGACAGATAAAAGACTCACCGACGACAACACATATACACATCACCTTCTGATCCTCTTTTAATTGAAAATTTGATGATTAGAAGCTTCTTTTCTTCTCCATTTTCCATCTTCTCTTTATTTCAACGTTGATGAAAGAATGCAAAAAAGAGATGATGTTGCTCAAGAATGGCCAACGACTTTCATGGCGACTAATGTATACGGTATGATGTATTGCCTTCATCAGCATCTGATTTCACGTTATCCGTTAAGGAAAACGATGTGACAGATAGACAAAGCAGATGATCGGACATAATGACATGATGTGACAGCACACATCAATTTGTTTGAATTATCAAGCAGAAACTAAGAAACAGATGACGAAATAGGCATCATAAGATCTTTGTCGAAAATCAGAACAGATCATGAAAAACAGATTCTGGCTTCAGAAGCTGTTAATTGAACTTTCTCTTTATGTCGTTGTTGTTGCTGTTATTGTTCGTTAGTAGGTTTGGATGGAAGAAGGAAAGAGAGAGATAGAGAGGAAAGGAAACTAAGAGAGAGAGAGAGAATTATCATTTGAAGTTTCATTAGTTTAATCTACTTGACAACACGTTATCCAGTTTGTATTAGGTTATTGAATCATTTTTTTTTCACAGAAACTAATTTTGTAGAATCCATCAAAGAGTCCTAAGAGATACTCTTTGTGAGAGAGAGAGAAAGAGGTTATTGCCGGAGAACTTCTCGCTCTTCATCTTCAAGTACTCATGATAGAATTACTTTTCAATTTACTCTACTTTCACACCTTTTCTTACACAGCAGGAGATTCTGATGTCGTCGTTTGTTTGAATTGATGAGAGTTTTTCAAGTAAAATGTCATTTGACTAGGTCAAACACTCAAAAACCTTATAATTATACTCTTTATTATTATTAACTATATCATATAATAAAAGGAAAGTTTGTTATTCATTTATTCAAGTGCCTACCCGATAGACTGTCTCAAAGGACTACGAGTAGGAGTACAAAAGAAAAAAGACTGTCGTTACTTCTATCCTCTTATTTGAAAGAGTTTCTTTCTCATGAATGCATGATTTGGATTTGTCCCGCCATCAGATCTCCCTGAATGAAAGTTAAAATGGAAAGATGAAGCATGGAGAAGCTCATGAACTGATGGCCTGATGAATGGCCGACATTGCTCATCATATTTGACATCTAATAAACGTGTCCCTGGAGATTCTGAATATTCCAGTTAAACCGTCCATCTACCAGGTCCCCGTTCACTCACTCCTCATCTTCTATGACTCTTTTGCTTCAAAATTTCAGACAGCTTAAAAGAGTCGTTTGTCAGTAGTTGAGCTGTGATAGATGACCATTTTTCAGCTTCTTTTATTTCCTCAGTTGTGGCTCGACAGCCGTCCAAAACTTCTTCTTGTCGGCTGTCGACAACAATGATGAGGCCAAGAACATCGTCATTTCGAGAAGATGTTAGAGAAATCGAACAAGCTAGCATTAACATCCTGTTATGATCGTTCTAATAACATTTGCTTATGTAAACAAGGTGAGAAGCTGATTGTGTGATAAAACCATGGAGGACAGAAGGTTGAATAGAGGACAAGAGAATAGAGGGGCATAAGCAATCAAACACATGAGGCTTCAGTTATTCCATTAAAATTCATTAGCTGCTCAATCATTGAAAACACCAGACTAAACTACTACATCTCACAGAATGATTGAACAAGAAACAGCAACAAAATTATGTATGAAACTCGTCCTTCATCCGCCCTTGCGCTCATCGTTCGGCTTCTGATGATTGAAGATACGGCCATTGGAGCAATGTGAGAAAACAACAAACTTACATAGACAGATTGACTGACAAACACAACGACGAACGGATGAATTCTTTTTTTTTCTGAATTCAAAAAAAAGAAAGTTGAAAGAGGAACAGAAGGTTTGAGCGGGGGGAAAGTCCGCCAAGAGAGTTCGCTGATACAGATAGGATACTATAAAGAGGGAATGACTACTTGTTGTGCAGAAGCATTGAAAGTCATTAGAAATAAAAAAGAATTTCAATACTTTCCCTTCTTGCTGCTTCTGATGATGATTGATTGATCTTATCAAGATCAATTAAACGAATATAATGGCTTATTATATTTTATATTTAATAACCATTTTTATAGTTTTATAAAAATGTTTGAATAATTCACATTTTATGTCATTTGATAACAAATAAATATCTTTCCAAAGCTTCCATTTTAATCAAAAATTATAAGAAAAGTCAGAAGCAGAAAAGGCATTGTGGGCATACTGCGAATGAAAAGCGTTTCTGACACTTCTCACTTCATACCGCCTTAATGCATCTTGTCACCTTTTGTGACTAAATATGCTACAAAATGATGGACATGACCTAACATTTCTTTTCAAATAATAATATACTTATAGTAATCCTATAACTACTTCCTATCACAGCTTACTTTGCTACTAGCTAAATGCCTATGCTGACCTCTGACACAACCGCTCAAACTGTCTACACACATCAAAAATGAGCCGATGGCGTCTAGTTGTTAACTTAATTATAATCTCATCACGTACATGACCACGTGAACAGATTTGAGTTTATGCAAATACTCAAATAAAGATACTTTAAAGTGTGTTTTGTTGGTAAATAAGGTCAACAGACGCTTAGACGCCTCAACATAAGGTAGAATGAATACACATAGGTGTGAAAACAACTTATAACTATTATATAAATATTATATTTATATATAATAAACAATAGATTCAAAATTAAGATAACAATAGCCAACAGAACAGAAAAGGCACATGTTTATTAGAGATTTTTATCTTCTCCATCTTTTTTTTTTCATCTCCTAAAGAAAAATACGTAATAGGCAACACATATATCCATTTGTCTTCTTTCCTCTTTGACATTTTGCTCTTTTATGAAAAATGCACAAAAAAAGTCTTTTTTTTTTCCTCCTTTTGCAATGTCTGAAATAAATTTTCATTTTGAACAAATCCTGTCAAACTCAATGAGAAAGGAGCTGGGAAGCTCTATGATTACTTGGAAAGTTGGTGTTCAACGTATTGTAACCGACACTCTTACCCGGGTGAGTGATTAGATGAGCCAACAATCAACGAACCGTTTATTCCATTAATCAATCTCTTTTTTTTTCATTCTAATCATTATCATCATCATTGGGGCTCTCAAAAGATTTTCTTCTTTTATATCTAATCATTAATTTTCTTTTATCTAATACTTTTCTCCCACCTAATCCTCCTGTTTCTCTCTTTTTCCTCATTTACCTCTCTGTATATTCTCATCTTGTCACTTTTAAAGACACTGTTAGGAATAAAGGCTCTATTGGAATCTGTTGCTGCTGTCGGGAAATAGATATGAAGAGACATAAACCGCCATATACTCTTAAAGACTCATCTTTATCATTCACAATATCAGAGAGCAACAGACAATATGTTGAACCATTGGATGCTGAGAGAGAAAAAGGAGACTGGGGGCCATACGGTCTTGTAACTCAGTCATAAATCTCTCCATCTCCTTCTCCTCACTGTCAATAGTGCCTGACAGATCATAAATTTTCTGATATATGTATGTTTCCGAGGCGCTCCATCATTCGAGAGAGGCGTGGTTAGTGCCTGTGATTGGCTAGCCACGCCTCGTCGCTCGACCGCTTTGATGAGACCGCTGTCGGCTGGCCCCGCCCCACGAGTAGCATCAGTCTTAGCCTTGTGTTCGTGCCGCCCTGTTGGTTGTCGTCGTCGTTGATCGTCGTCGTCATCACCACAGCATCATTATTTGATCGACATCGAGAATCCTCGAAATTTGTCGTTTTTGTTGATTTTAAACTCCTGGAGAAAAAAGGAATTAGCGTCTCTTTCTCTTGGAGATTCAAAATAATACGATCCATTATTCATCCAGAAGAAACATTCTGTCATATTTGGTATATATAGCCAAAAAAGGAGGAATAAAAAAGAAGAATATAAAGAATAAGTGACTGTTCCTATTCTGTTAGATTCTTAGCTATTCAATCTATTCTATTATGGTTTCTACACATACCCAGCAGTATATAACAGATTTTGTACCAAATACGGTTAGTTTTATTTCTTATTAACATTACAAATATTTAATTGATTATTTGATTACATATATGGTTATTCTCTAGTTTGCTCATATTTCATTCGATTATCCTCTATTCCCACACTCTCTCTCTCTCTGTCTCCATTCTTGTATGTTTCGATTCGCTTCTTAACCTCATACTACACTTTGTCAGACTTGAAACTGTATTTTCGAACATTTCCTTTTATGGTTTTTCCACTCAAGAAGCTTTTATTAATTTGATTTTCTTGTTCTTTCTAATCATCAAATAGAATCTCCTCTAATTAATTTGGATAATAAAAAATAGTTGGAGAGCTTTTATGACTTTTTGTACGGCGGCTTCTCTTATCAGTTATATGATTTGTCCAATCAAATGAGCTTATTTATGAGTTTCTTTATTACTTTTTATTCGTTTTTTCTTCATTTTTTTATAATTATTTTGTGAATTCTCAACACTTCTCTTGATATTTCACTCTTCAATCATCGCTTTATTTGCAATTAACTAGAGTTCAACCTTTATATCATCAAATCATTCAATTGTTACACATTTACTGTTTACTTTTTATTCATTTATTTTTGTTTAAGGCTGATGGCAAAAGCCCACTGGCTATGCTAGCCAAAACATGTGAAACGATAGGCTTACCTGATGTTCCACTAATGAAGAAAAGCCCTGCACTCAGCTCGGACGGAAAATCCTCCATGGGTGCAAGTCCTGACCTCTCATTAAAAGGAAAGTCTGAGTCGCCGAATGATAAAAAACGGGAACGATGTTCACCAAGGGCCACTCCTTCCACATCTAAGGTATATCCATAATCTGTTGTTCTTTTTTTATAAAACTGTTCCAGTCAGAGCCACTAACATCTACCTCAATGCCAGCTTTGACAGCAGTAGGAAAAGCACCTTTTGGAGCTCTCGGATTCCATACCGCATTTCCTTTCTATCCTGGAGCAACAATGATGAACCCGTTCGCTATGCATACCGCCGCTTTTCCCGGCTTCGGTATGGCTCATGCACCTCAAGCATACATGAACGCTCGAGTTCCATGCCCCGCAGCTATTATGCGTCAACCATGTATCACTCCTGGTTGTTCAACTTGCTCAACACCCGGACCATCAGCTACTGATATGTTTGCTAATCCATTATTCTCAGCTTATGCTGCTATGATGCCAACTGTTTCTGGAGCAAGGTAACTTGACAGCAAGCAAACTGTTCTCTTAACTCCAATTATTTCAGTGGTCCAGCCGGTATCTCTTCTTATCAAGCACTTCTGGCATCCGCTGCTGCTGCTGCATCCGCCAATGCCGCCGCTGTCGCAAGCTGCACACCTTCAGTTACAACACCTACTCCCGGATCTGTTTCTTCAAGCTGTTCATCATCATCACATGTGAAACATACATGCAGCTGGATGGACAGTACAACTGGAATGTGTGGAAAACAGTTTGCTACAACTGACGAACTCACAAATCACATGAAGAATCACGCAATAGCATCTGTCAACATCTCATCCACCGCTCCAAGTCCCGTTCCCAGCTCATCATCTTCTGTCAGTATGAGCACCCCTGATAAAATCTCCAATGGCAAAATGAGTAGCAGTGCTGGAAACACTCCCAATATGCGCTTCAACCCATACGGAAAATCTGTTGCTCCAGGAATGATGGCTCCGGCTGGTGCTGCCGTAGCCGCTGCTGCTGCAGCAGCCGCAGGAATGCCATCCATGACACCGATGGCTTTTAACCCCATGGCTTTACATGCGATGTATGCTCAACGTATGATGACGATGCCTCATCCTTGAATAGAAATCCCTGTTATATAGTTTCGGTTAATAAGCTACCTGGCTCTTTCTCTTCTCATTCTATCACACAATTACGGTTATAATTTTGAATATTTTTTTTTGAGTGTAAAGAGACAAAGTCATTTCAAAAACCATTTGGCGCAGTTTCGTTGATGACGTCGTGATCAACTTTACGGGTTTATATTTAACTGGTGCCACATTTGTTTTTTTTTCTCTCTGAATCCATCTTCATTAAAAGCATTTTAGATAAGATAGATTGTTGTTTAAGAAATTTTCTTAAAATCTGAGTTGATCTAATACTATTAACATCCTCTGTTGCGTGTTTTCAATCGTCCTGGACGGTTTCCTTTCCTCCCAAAACAAAACCTCAAAGAACAGCTTTTAAAGATGCAAATTGTCATAGAAGAATTATATATACTGTTAATAATGAATTGTAAATATGTTTATTAATGATCTTCTCATTGGATGATCGTCTTTTGCCCCTCTGGTGGATTGCAAATGCCCCCATTGCCTTCACACATTTGCTTCATTTGTTGATTACGAGTCTTCTCTCTCTAATGATATATAAATATAGAAAATGAACAAAGAAAGTGATAAATTTTATGAAAATACTCGTCTTTTTTTTATTTGAAAAACATTTCCTGAGCTATTCTTCAAGCCTTGAACATAAACGATATTTCATCTTCAACTGTCGACGTCGTTTGATTATTCTTGACTGTGATCGATTTGAAATGATTCAATCATCTGATCTTAAGAGCACATTGGCTGAAGTAATAACATTTTTCTTTTACTCTCAAACGATTTCGTTTCATTTGTATGGGGTAGAAGAAATGAAAAAACGTCAGAGAGAGAGGGATAAAAGAAGATTATTTATAGTTATTGCTCATTAAAGAGATTGAAATGACTTCAAAAGACTTGTTGTTGCGCGAAAGAACAGATGTTAATCGCAAATTCGAAGAATAAAAAGTTATGTAAATGTTCTTCTGATTGGAAGAAGAAGAAAAGAAGAAGAAGAAGAAGTTTATCTGAAATGAGTGACGATTGGCATTTGGATGAAGCCGGACGATGATTGATAAGAGACGTCGCGAAATTCTTAGTTGATCATCATGCAAGATGCTCTGAAGGTGAATGAGAAGTGAGGATGAATTGGAGAAAATGAAGAGGATGAAGCCTTTCAGATCAAGAATCTCCTACTAAAAATGACAACAAAAGCGATAATTTTCGTTTCTGTAAAAGATTAAGAAGAGATTGTGATCAATTGGATTACATATGATTTCAGATGACGTGGTTAATTCATCAAAATGAATAATCAATCCTATTCCAAGACTTCAGAAGTCGCTATCAAACCAGCGGGAGACATGAATTGGTCACATCAGCGAAGGTATCACTGATGATACTCTGATGTCACCAAAAATGGAACTCAATCACGGATGAGAGAAATAAAAAGTGAAGAAGAGAGGAGTGAGTGAAAAACAAAAAAAGGGGGACTACAGAGGCTGAGAGATTAGCTGATTGAAACGTTTTTTCTTTGTGTAATTTCATACAAACTGATCATTCCATAGACTTGATACTTGATAACGACCAAATACATGAAATGAAATATTTTTTTGACGAATCGCAAAGACTTTGAATGTCATTTGTCAGGGCAATGTATTTTCTATTTTTTCATGTAAAAAAAAAAGCAAATTATTATGAATGATGAATCTTCTCTTCTTCTTTTTTTGTGATTTTTGTCTTTTATATTTAATTTAGCAGTTAATGTCCATCCATCAAATCATTTTATGACTTTTGCCTTCATTTCATTTTCTTTGCCGCTGTGGGATGACTGATAGCCACTTCTAAGGGGGGTTGAGAGAGTCGAAAAGATCATCGTCCGGTTAGCTATGCGAACTTATAATAATATGTTTTTTCTTCGTATTAGATAAGAATATCCATATACAGTAGTCTATCCATCAATATTTTACTTGTAGGTCAATTAGAAGATAAAGATTTTTCTTTCTCTAATTGATACTTTGACCAAATAAGCACAGAAATCTTATGATAGGCAAACTAGCTGCTTATCAATCGGAAACCTTCGGAACTCTTCTTCTTCCATTTCTTCACAAGCATTCTGGACAACTGTCTAAAGATTAATGGTCCGTGGCTCTTTTTGACACAAACGAAACTTTCTTTTCAACTTTTTTCCAAAACAAAAGCCGTGAGAAGAAGTGAAAGAAGTGACTTGAACACGTCAAGAAAATCATAAGAAAGAGATGTTATCAAGTCGTAATAATCTAAAATATTTTCAACAAAAGTCTCACTAATGATTAACTTCAAGATTTATATTTGATCAGTTGTCTTGTTGTCTGACATATGTCCTCTAATCAGCTCAAAACGACTTAATACATCAAGCTGATTCATGACAACTCCAAACAACAGTCTCTTTTTCTGTCAACTTTTCATCAGAAGCTTTGCTCTGAATTCAGGATGATGACAGATTGATTATCATCACAAAATCAAATTTTGTTAGAAGAAGCCAGAGGGAAGATAAAGCTTCGTTGAACGAAAAACCCCCCTTCCCCCCACCTCCTAACCATCTCCATCTCAGCGATTCCATAGGTTTTTCAAGTTGTGTTAAATAAATTATTTTTATATTTATCAGCATTTCTCATCAATCTTTAGATAACAGAGTGTCCCTTTTTTATCTTGTATTCTCCTATTTTCTCTAAAAGTGGACACGTTAATAAATCACCAGACGTTCTTGAAATGCAGGAAATCATAAGTTATCAAATGATTACTTCCCACATTCAGTATGTTTCAAATGAATGTAAGTAGGGCTTAGACCTCTATCGGATTGCTAACTTGATGAATGGTCGGAAAGCTTTGTTGTTTCCGGATGTTTAATACGATTATTGGCCTATTAAACCATCAAATTGAAATGAAAGTGGCAATTATTATCAAGGCTTTGATTGTACAATACTCCCATTTGATATTTGAACAAATTTTTTTCTCTCTTTTACATCTGTTAAACGTTAAATTAAGAGCTAAATGTTCGTTTCATTTGATGACATAGAGAAAGGAAAAAAAACCATTTCGATGAGTTACAGATGTTCGCAGAAGCTCTCCATATCTTTGAGAAGTCCTTGAAGTGCCAAATAAATTATTAATGACACCACCAAATGCCATGACAGACAGTAAGCTTTTGACTCTCCTTCACCCCCCCCCCCCCCCCCACTCCTCTTCATTCATAATTTTTTTTTGAAAATTCTCATAAATGTTACATCTCTCTCTCTCTGACAACTTCTTCTCATTAATTGTGATGAAATTAAGAAAGTTAAAGAAGAAACAGAAATTTCAGGATAAAACACAAAAAAAAAGAGAAAAACGAGTGAGAGACTTCTGACTGCTTGATGGATTAGCCAGCAAGCACGGACCAGATGACAACTGAAGTGAAAAAGTTTTTTTTCGTTTCCTGTTTCTGATTTTATCGCTTTTATTTCATTCTGAACTTAATTTTTATCGGATTGAAGCATATAAGGCAACAAGCCATCACCTAAACTTCCTTCTAATTGTTTTTTGGACGACTGCTGATGATGAATGGCCCATGACAAACTCTCACAGTCGTCAAACAAATGGTCAGGTTCTTCTTAATTTATTACATAGAATAGACAGTTCCCAAGCCTTAAGAATCACGAACACGTCGAAACTTCTTCACGAAAGTTTTGCGATGGTAAAGACGAAAAATTTTGAAAAATGGCTTCTCGAAATCGGGACAACGGACAATTATGGAAAAGCTATGTTACAGCTCTGATCTGCCATTTCTCTCATTCAAACACTTCAAAGTCTTAAAAAGATAATGAGAGATGCTAAATCGCAGAATCCTTGACAGCTGAACGACATCAAGGCCACGTTACGTGATTTACGAGATGCCATGTATTTGTGAAAGCCCAGATCGTTTCTCATTCCATTCCTCTATAACTATCTTTTCCCGAAATGTTTTTGAGGAACAATCGAGATTAGCTCTTTGATCATACCTTATAAATTATAATATGATACTTTTGCTCATTAACATAAGCTTTTCTATCCTCCTGTGTCTGTCATATGATTGAAACTTCCAAATTTGCTTGAATACTTGACCCTTTTCGTGAACTAAAAAAGATAAGGAGAAACAAAGTCATTCGTCTTATTCTGTTTCTCCTTTTTTGAACATTTTTATTTTCGCAGCTATAAATCTGATGACGGACTTGCTCACTAGCTTTTGAAGCTTAAGCTTCTTCACCATTTTACTGCCCATCTTATCCATCTTAGTTCAATTGCTCGTCATATAAATGACAGTTTGGATACATCGATTTAAACAGATTTCCTGTAATCTTTCAGTTTCTTCTGACATCTTGCAGTTGTCATCTTTACTTCTTTGTGCTTACCGCCTGCCGGGAGAGACGAGGTCGTCGTACGCAGGGATTTCGCTCATAACTTTTCTCATAATAAAAGTCTGATAAAGGGGCTGCAAAACAATAAATAAATCTAATGATGAACAATAGAACAGGTTATTAATGATTATTCTTATTATACAAACTTCACGTGACGTAGCATGTGTGTACTACTGTTCATCATATCGAATAGATCTTTAGATCATGAACGGTTGTTTGTTTCTCACCTCTGCTCACTCAGTACTACTCTTCTCTTCTTCTTCTTCTTCTCACTTCTCCCACATCTCTAAGTTACTTTGATTATTTTCATGCACAGGTATTCGTACCTGTTCAATTTGCTCCAGCAAATGCTCATACTTTCTGACAGGCCAATCTGTCCGTGTCCGTCCGTCTGTGTCACTCGTCTTCTCAACAATTACAGTAGACAGAGTGAGTGTCTGATTGACGGCCGACCGGCGGCAGTTCAAACGCATCTTTTATACGACACATGTAATCCATCACCCTGTCTGTCAGATGAGTCGACCCTCTCTTCGTTCCGGCTACACTCTCATCAGAACCGTGTCGTCTTCATCGTCATATCGCCGTTGTCGTTGTGGTAGTTTTCATCTTTATTGTCGTGTGGAAGAACGGCAAAATAAGCGTTAAATGACTCAAAACTTGAATAATTTTCTCTTTTCTTCTTCTCATAGGTATGCTTTTATGACCCTTGGGAACCTTCTTTTATATATAATTTATGGTGAACTGATGTTGAGAGTTGCATTCTTCTCTTTGATGCAGCTTTGATGAGATGATAGCACATAGTGTGGAATCGTTTAGTTAAAGCTGAAGTTACAAAGAAAATTTCGATTTATTCCATTCTGTTGGCTGTCATTGTCAACTCATCCATCTTGACCTGTTTGTCCAGTCAGTCATCTACATGATTCCATCAGCTAGAAGAGGAGTAGTTGAGCTTAAAACATTAAGAGATGTCAAAAAAAAGGAGAGAAGAAAGAAGAGAAATAGAACAGAAGCTCCAGAAGCTACGGAAGGTCTACATGTTATCTACATGTATGTCATTTGGCATATAAAGAAATTTCAGGAAAGAAGACGACGAAACACATAAAACTTCAAAAGATAGCTCATTAAAGTGCTGTCATTTGAATGTTAATTGTTATTCATTCATCAGATTCCTTATTTTATTATCGTTTCTCAACAAATTGTGGTCATGAAAGCTTAATAAGGGGTCGAAAGTTGGATAATCAGTCATGGTTTTTGTAATTATTCTGTCAGCTCACTTATGATTTTTTCACATCTCTTTCCGTTCATTCGCTTCTCATCACATTGATCATTCTGTTTGATTGTCCATTGATAAAGATATGTTCATAAAAACTTCTCGAAAAAGCATGAACGAACATAAAAATTAAATGAATCTCGTAAAGAATATTTTGTGTACTGTATTCTGATTTTATGGAGCTGGAGGGGACATCGTAAGACCGTAACTATCATGTGAAAATCTTGTTTTTCAAACTTCTTATTTTTGGATGAGAAAAAGAAACCGAGAGAGGGGAATAGAAAAGGGATTTCAGAGGGAGATGAAACATTCTCAATTTTTTTCTGAATCGGAATAAACATACACTGAAAGCTCGACAGCAGTAATGTTTAAAGGGAGATTGAGAGTTTCTATTGGTGATAAAATATAAAGTGATTAGTCGATGAGCGGTCATGAAGCTTTCAAAACGATATTCTCCAGTGTTCAGAACAAAATAAAGAAGTTAAATCCATAAAATGTTATCAAAGCTTGCAGATTATGACGTCACATCATAAAGTTTGTCGGCTTCTTTGAGTTAAGTTGGTGTTGATGTTGTAACTGTATGGAGCTTATTATTATGACGCCATAAGACTTATTATATTATCTTTCGTCACCGTTGTTGTTTCAACATAATTTTGCGAACTAAAGAAAGATAAGGGGGTCGTAAGGGAACATTTCTATTTTATTAAGAAACTCCCAATTGTCATATCGAAGATGGATAGCTTCTGGCGCTTTACCCCTACAATCCACTATCGTTGATGATGATGAAGTGCAATAATTGATTGATATTAACAGACCAAATAACCTTACCCTAGCATTTCCTGAGACTGAGTTACGAGGGATGCAGACTGATCCCAAATAAAGCAGAAAAAACGGTTCTCATATTATGCAATTCATTGTCAGGCTATAGACTTCAGAAGACATATGTGTCATGTCATAAATAAAGTCAATAAGATGAAGAAGAAAAGAAGTAGATGGCCACCTTAAAACTCATTGTATCCTCAAATTTTATGTGACTAAACGGAACAATACAAATCCTCTTAGAAGACGTAGAGACCGACGACAGATGAGGATGACGGCTGTTGAATAAAATTGAAAAATTACTCAGTTTTTCCATTCGTTTTCCCTCGTTTCTATTCAAAATCCAATAAATTTTAGTTAAAAGTTACGATGTGTCGAAGGGTATTGTTAGAGTTGAGATGAATTGGCTTTTGATAAATGCCGATCTATGGCACTTTCCAATCAAAGCCCCGTTCTGTCTCTCCTTCTCTTTCTCTCTCTCATTGTCAACTTTTTATTCTTCAAAATCACTACCAGCCATCTTCTGAAATAAAAATTGATCAAACGGCGTTATCTTCTACATCTGCATCAGATTGTCTCATATCAAACATATTGTAGATGAACGTTTCCCAGCCTATTCTCCAATTTGGGAATGAAATGTGACAAAAACTGAATTTAAGAAAGGCGAAGAATTAAAAGCACAGCTGCTTATTCCTCCAACAAACGACTGTAACGAAGACGTTATCGACGGTTCATCATCATCAACACAAATTTTCTATCATTAATCTCCAGTCGGCTATTCATTCAGCTTTTCTCTCCTGTCAATTGTTGTATCTTTCAAATTAATCAGTTGAAGCCACATTCTCCAACTTACTTGAATTCTAATCAACAATTTTGAAAGCAACAATCGGGAATAAAATATAATTTATGCAGTGCTTTATCTTGTTGAAGTAATTAGAGCAGCCCTCCAGAGACAGGTCAAAGATAACTAGGCACAGTTTGAATGAAGATAGGGAAAAAGAGAGTGTTAGAGTAAGAGAAAGAGAGAGAAAGAAGCCTCATAAGCAAGGTGAGAAGATAAGCTTATTAGTATTTCGCTACAGTAACTGAAAGAGAGTATTACAACATTAATATAAACACTTTATAGGATGTTTTATTACAATTACGCTAATAAAACACTCTATTATAGTTATAAATTGTACTCAAATCATTCATATGGCGTAGCTTCTGTTGTTCCCATCCATCATTTTCGTTCTGAAGTTAAGGAGATAACAAGATTTTTTTTTCAAAAAAAAAAGCTAATAAAACCAAAACAACCGCTCTGTAGTGAAGAAAGACATAAAATGATTGAATCTACACCTCTTTACAAATATGCTAACTACCATAATTTATTATGCGTCTTATAAAACAATATGGCAAAGAAAGATTAAAAAACTATTAAATAACTGTCGGCGTTCATCAAACAGTTTAACTGAAGATGCAGAGTAGAGCAGTACTATCTCATCTAGTTGACGGTTACTTTACTTTTTTACAACCTCTTATGGTCATTTCGAACATGATGACAGAACAAGGTCGCTGTCTTACAATCCTCCAATGCATATGAAGCTATTTTGAAACTCTCACATCCCGATAGTCTGAACTGCTTTGCTGCTATGTGTATTGAACACTTACCGTAATCCGGGTTACGGTAGATAAAGCAATTGACTGTATTCTATTTGTTATTTTTATGTTTTGATAGAAGTTAAATGAACATTGGATTTATGAGTGAAAAAAATGATACGAGACAAAGAGAGAGAGAGAAAGAAAGAGAGAGAGGGAGAGAGAGAAAGAATAGTACTGGTAGATGATAAATTCTTCTGTTGGTTCATCTATCATCTACATCCAAATCACTCATCCCTATCCATCTACCCATCCATCCATCAAATAACCCAACAACCAACTATTTTCGCTTTTTTCTCTTTTTCAGCCCACACCGTCATATTATCACAACTAACTTTGTGATCTATCATATGTCGTTAAAACGTTGTTAATATGAAAAGATAAAGAAAAGAAAAGATATACAATAGGTTCAAGCAGCTCATTCCATTCAGTAAATAAATATTTATTTATATTTAAACTCCAAAAAAAAGGAAAAAGAAGATGAATGTTCATTTCTTTACTTCTCTCAATTCGTCATCTCGCTGTCTCTCTCTCTTTCCTTAAAGGAATTCTTTTCTATTCTTTTTGCTGTAAATATGTTAGGAAAGGTGCGAAGAAGACAAGTATTTCTTCAGGTCATAAATTTAATTTGGACATCGATCAAACTAACGTCGTCGTCACCTTCTCTTCATCAGATTTCTTTGTCTTTTTCTTTTTAATAAATAAATTTCGATAAGGATTATGTGAGAAGTCTTGTTTTTATTCGGAAAATCAACAAATATGGAATTTGCTAATGGAACTGTCATTCGTTATTGATGCGAATTTGAATATCACGTGAACTTTCACGTGAAAACACTTTTCACGGAATTCATTTTGTTTTTAGCAGATGAAGCTGTTCGGTTGTGTTTTAAGCTTCCAGTTAGCTACATCAATGAGATAGTTTGGTGTTAATTGTTTTTCTTTGTGTGAACGATTGATTGTACGAGAATGAGGATAGAAGAAAGAAATGAAAAAAAACTTTATTTTTGACAATGAAATGTCTTGTAAAGTCTCAAAAATCAAATTATATTCATCAAATACTGTTAGGCAAATGCTCATTAGTGATTGACAAAATTTTAAAGGAGAATGATTGAGATGTGAAGAGAACTCTCAATCATTTCGCAAGAATCAGTGAAAGAATTAATATTTCATCGTTTTTAACTTCCGTAAATCATTAATAACGAAAACTTAAATACAGATGTCAAATGAGAAGAATTGATAATGATTACGGTAATGAATGTCAAGCATTTCTATCTGTATTTCAAACAATTTTCGCTCTTTTTCAATTGATAGTGTCGTTTTTCATCTTCGTTGTCAATTCATCATCTTAGAATAACATTCTCGGCTATCATACAACCGGTTTATCGTTACCTTCTGTCATCAGATGACGATTAACAACGACGTCTTCAATCATCAAACTGTTGACGACGTTAGCATAGATAAAATGGATGCGGAACATAGCAGTCATGAAAGTAAGAACTACCAAAAATGGAAAAAGAGAGATAATGGGAATGTTTAGATAGTTAGAGATATTAAAGAGATCATAGCTTAAGGCAACAGGTGCAAAAAAGGATAATTCTCTTGTCTCCTTACATTCTCATGACAAGTTTACATTATGTATGTCTGATCAGCATATCAATTTGGAATAAGATTCCAAATGAGAGATTGATAGATGACAAAGTAAATCAAGTGTTTTGACCCATTGTGGTGAAGAATGCAAAACGCTAACTTTCTTCCGAAGAACTTTGTTCTCCAAACATTTTAAAATCGTTGTTCATTTATCTTCCAGTGCTCTCTTTGAAGATCTGATTAATTAGATTTGAGAAGCTTTTTTTCTTTTTAGAACAGAAATTTTATGTAATGTTGAAATGAAATGTTTGAATGGAAGGGAGGGGTTGATAAATGAACTTTGCATTTGATTTCTTAATCTGTTCAATTGTTCCATGTATAAATGTATAAATAAGATTTGATTAGAGAGTTGCAACGAATGAGATGAATGAGAAGAAGGAGAAGAAGAAGACTTGCTTCGGCAGAATATAAACGATTATGATCTATGGGAATTTCTGTTGATGATGACGGCAACAGCAGATGATAGATTTATCATAGACTATCCTCAGTAGTCTCGACGAATATTATGAAGTTCCATTTCTCATTCTTGTTCTCTCTCTCTCTCTCTCTCTCTTCTTATCCCTCCGTTCTTTCCTCATATTTCACTCTCTTCTTCTTATAATAAGGCAATTGACGTAAGATGATGATGATGACAATGTGTTAGAAGTCTAAGGAAGGAGACTGGCAATTCATCTCCTTCATCAATTACCATCATAAACTATCATAATAAACTTCTTCAATGAATCTTACGACAGGGACCCATTGTCTTCAACAAATTTATTTGAAACTGCAAGCACAACCGGTCGGCTCGTTTTGACCTTTTCAAATCGAATTAATTTTTGAAACATTATGTGGGTATTGACTGAATAGAAATTCAGAAATAATAAATAGGTTGACTTTCAATAAATAACATGTGACTGTAACTTTCTGGAACTATAAATCATTGTCTCAAATGTGAAAGCTTTTCGTTCAGGCTTTTCCCATTGCGATCCATCTGTCCAGAAGGCTTGGCGGTCATTGCTTTAGAGCCAAATCGTCATTGAGCAGCAGGAAAGCAGATTTATGAGTATTAAGGATGAAAGTCGTAAACGAGACTTTGACAGACATCTGAAAGTAAATTCTGAACTTTGCAAGGGACTTTTAGATGTCAATAGTCAAGGAAACAATCTAATTGACAGGGTACGGGAAACCATACGGACAATCATTTAGTAAACGTTTTTGTGATTGTTAGCTTGGAGAAATATACAATGAGATTGTCAGTTGAAACAAGAAGAATGAGAAAGCAAGTAAAATAAAAGCAAAGAAACGAAAGATTTATGTGAGTCTCGCATCATATTCACAAACATATAAATCAGTTACAGCCACTTAACTCCATCTCATTCAGAATTAATGGTATAGTTCGGCTGTCAACTTTCTCTTTTGACTCGTGTCTTCCATCTGCTTTGAATGTCTGTGATTGGCAAAGGTAGAATAATAAAAGAAGATTTATTAAATTCATTAGCTATATGTACAATATTATAAACTGATCGAAGGAAATTTTTTAGAATTCAAATATATATTGCTCTGGTTTATTGAGAGAAAAGCGATAACTTAGTGAAGATATCCTGCACGAGGTGGAGCCGATGGAGGTATTGGACGTTCACGACTGACTTTCCGACGCACACCAATTATGTAAGGAATTGAAGGTTGATTACTGTTTGGTGAGGGGAAGAAGTTCATTTTATAGAGATCGTTAGGTCGTGGTGCGGGATGAGATGAAGGCACAGGCAAAGAGTTGGAATCGTGAGAATCATACGATGGAGTAGTATCATATGAGGAGCTATCATAAGTCAGTTTTGGAGGCTCATTCGGGTAACTGTACTTCTGAGAAGGAGGTGATGGGGAAGAAGCTGGTGGAGAAGGAGTATAATCAGGAATAGATGGTTCTTCGTATGGATTATTTGCTCTGGTCGTAGTTCTTGCTGTTGTTCTTCTTGTTGTTGTTGATCTAGTCGTAGTTCTTGGTCTAGAAGTTGTTGTCCTCACAGTGGTTGATGGAGTTGTTGGATATGAAGTGGATGATTCTTCGGAATATGGAGGTGGAGTTGGATATTGGTAAGGAACGGGAGGTTCAGGATAAGATTTTGCCGGTTCAGCTGGAATTTGAGGATAAGCATCTCGTGGTGGATAATAAGGATATTGTGGAGGGCACTGTGGACCTTCACAAGGTTTGTTAGTATCCAAAGGTGGGTATGGATACTGTGATGTGTACGGTGGGTATGAACCTGTTGGATGAGGACTTCTGGGTTGGTTTGAAGGCCCGTAAGGTTCTTGAGGCCAGTAATTGGTTGGTGGTCGATACGGATTTGGTGGGTATGATGTTGGAGAAGTTGGACAGTGTGATCCTTCACAAGGCGGTGTGTAGGGTGTTTTATATGTTTGCGGCTGTGGATAGGAGTCCTGATTAGGTGGGCACCCTGGTCCACTACAAGGTTGGTATGGTTGATGGCTGTAAGGTTGTCGGGGTCCATACGGTGTATTCACTGGTGGACATCCTGGTCCCTCACATGGAGAGAATGGTTCTTGATATGGTTGTGGTTTGAAAGGAGTTTGTGTCCTGTAAGGCTCATATGGAGTTTGGCATGCTGGTCCATCACAACGAGGTGTTGTATATGGAGGAGGAGATGGGTTTGGCTCGTTATTAGGCTGGCATTCTGGACCTTTGCAAATACGCAGTGAAGGATTCCATGGCAATTCTTGACAGGTGTTACCTTCACATCTTAAATATGTTTTTGGTGGAGTTCTTGTACTTGGTACAGGTTGCTCGCAATCATCTCCATCGCATTCATGCTCTGGTGTATTGGGTCGTTTCACTGGACGATGAGGCTCCTCGTACTCACATTCCTCTCCATCGCATTCGTGCTGAGGTCTGTGAGGCCGTTTCACAGGATGATGAGGTTCTTCGTACTCACAGTCCTCTCCATCGCATTCTTGATGAGGTTTATGAGGGCGTTTCACGGGACGACGAGGTTCCTCGTACTCACAGTCCTCTCCATCGCATTCGTGCTGGGGTCTGTGAGGCCGTTTCACGGGACGATGTGGTTCCTCGTACTCACAATCATCTCCGTCGCATTCTTGATGAGGTTTATAAGGGCGTTTCACGGGACGACGAGGTTCCTCGTACTCACAATCCTCTCCATCGCATTCGTGCTGGGGTCTGTGAGGCCGTTTCACGGGACGATGTGGTTCCTCGTACTCACAATCATCTCCATCGCATTCGTGCTGAGGTCTGTGAGGCCGTTTCACAGGACGATGAGGTTCCTCGTACTCACAATCATCTCCATCACATTCTTGCCTTGGTCTGGGAGGTTGTTTCACAACGGTTGGCTCATCGGTTTGTGGACGTTTTGTTGGAGGATAATGAGAGTTCTCCATTTCAGAATCACAGTTAGAGTCAACACATGGCTCCGGTTCTTCGTTTGGTCGTTCCGGTTTTTCATTCAAAGTTATGCTGGGTGGTGTTGGGAATTCAGAGGGACAGTTGCTTCCATCACAATCAGGTGTTTTGGGAGGTCTTGTAAAAGGAGGAGGTTCACATCCGGGTCCCTCACAAGAATCTTCAGGAACTACAGGACGAGGAGTAGTTGGAGGTGCGTCTGGTTCCTCGCAACCAGGCCCTTCGCAGGGTTCTTCTGGGCGAGGTGTAGGTCTCTGTGGGAATTCACAGTTTGGTCCTGGACAATCATCATTCGGTAGTCTGGTTGGACGAGGTGGATTTGGTTGTTCACAATCAGTTCCATCACATGGTTCTTCCGGCTTATCAGTTGGTTGTTGCGGTGGTTCACAGAATGGCTCTTGGCAACCTTCCTCCACTGATTCAGGGGGGCGCGTAATTCGAGGTGGCTGTAAATCATCGCAGTCTGGTCCTTCGCAAGGTTCATCAGGCCGAGGAGTAGGCTCTCGCGTGATATCGCAGTTAGGTCCGGGACAGTCATCATCTGGTATATCAGGAGGTTGTTCCGGTTGTTCCTGATTACAATTTCCATTCTCCTTGCAATCATCCACAGGTGTTCTAGGTGTTACAGTTGGTTCTTCTATGATCACCTCTTGAGTTCTTCGTGGACAAGAGCAGTAGGCCGCATCAGTTCCTGGGCTACCAGAGCTGCCCATAGGTCCTACAACTCCATCTAATCCTCTCACTCCGAGACGACCAGGTTGACCTGTTGGTCCAGCCGGTCCGGTTTCTCCTGGCGAACCCGCTGACCCTGTGCTTCCAGTGTTTCCACGTTGCCCAGGAGGTCCGGGGTTTCCTGGCAATCCAACTGATCTAGATGCTTGTCGACCAGATTTTCCTGGTGGTCCAGTCATGCCAGTTTGTCCAATATCTCCAGGAGCTCCTGGCTCTCCAGAGTCACCTCGCATTCCAGGTTCTCCTGATCTTCCGGAATTACCTGGCAAACCATTGAGTCCGGGTACTCCATCGCTTCCTGCTTTTCCCGGTGATCCACGGGGGCCTGCTGGCCCAACAGGACAGACAAAACACTTACTGGGTTGACTAGCTTTTTTGTACAGATGTCTAGCATGATTGCCTGCTTTTCCGGACTTTCCTGCCTTGCCTGGAAGTCCAGGATGACCAGGGCTTCCTGGGTGCCCCGGGGCTCCAGGAGGGCAGTTATTGGGTCCTGTACTACATCCACACGAACTCGAAGATCTTTTAGCGCGTCCAAAAAACAAGTTGAAGTCCTTTGCATCTTTATTGTAACTTCCGAACCCATTGTTAGTTCTTATCATTTCACGCCAAGCATCGTCAGCGAAAGTCTAAGATGATATTATGAATAAAGCAATCGAGAAACAAAACAATAAAAAGGAATTGAAAACCCACTCTGAAGTCAATCATATCCAGCATGACGTCATCATATAACTTATTCATTTGAGAGAATATAGTAACAAGCATTGTCATAGCAAGAGCTATGACGAGTCCAGATGCAAAGCATCCAGAGATGACAAATATTCGAGTAGCTGACATATCAGCTACTCGAGCTTTCTGAATGATAAAACCAAAAACGAATATGTTCTTCGAAGCCTTTTAAAGCCAATTTGCTAAGAGAACAATGAAATCTTTTTTTTAACTTGTCATTTCAGTCGTATTCTTCCATAAAAAGTTGTCGGGATCGGGTTAACCCCTGAACTGATCGCGAAATTTGGGGGGAAGAGACAGTATTCAAGATTTCTACGTTTCAAGCAATGAGTATTCAAATATGATTTTCCATCTGATTATCTTCCTGATAGACAATACAGAAAAGTGTATGTGCTATGAAACTGAATCTGATCCATCAACCTGAATCGTCTCGCTTTGTTGTCATTCTATCTTCCCAAATTCTTCGAATATTTTATGTTTTTTTTGAATAGAGTATGGATAAAGATTTCGTTTTTTTTTCTGGAAAAGTCTGTTATATGAAAGTTGAAATAACAGAAAAAGTAATCGCAACCGACCACCTCTCTGCAATATAAATCTTGAAATGAGAAGGGCGTTGACTTGTTTCACGCAAATGGAATCAGAATACGTCGCAATCCCGCGAAGTGTCATGTTACACGTGTATCTTATGAAATAAGAATGAAATAAAAAATTTTATTTCTAAAAATAAATTATATTCAATTATGTTTTTCACAAAAAAAAAAGTTATCACAGTTAATGGCACTACAATTCTTAAATTTCGAAATGAAAAGAGAAGATGACTGCAATTGATGAAAACCGGTAAGTTGTCAAAGATTTCCTAGATCATTCAGATATAAAAATGTGTTAAAATCATATTAGGAGAATATTTCTTGGAACTAGAAAAAAACATTTCAAGAAAGATCCGAGATCAAGCTGGTGTTTTAACGAGAAAAACGGGCTGGGCCCAAAAAAAAAGCTTGAATGACGTTGAAAGCTTAACAGAACGCAGAATGTACAAATATCCGCGTCATTATGGGAAAATGATAGAATTACGGGAAAGTTAAAACATATTAGAACAACAAGAGTTGTTTTCTCCGAGAGTACCACTAAAAGCTCCTAAAAATGAGTCTGTTATTCATAAGATTGAAGCATGTTCAGGTTGATTTGAGTAAAGCAATTTGTTGTTTCAATGCTTTAATTATGTTGTCTTGTTCAATGAGTTGTCGACGTAAAGCATCATTCTCTCGAATTAAAGATTCTTTCGTTTCATCTTCAGCTCGTACAGATTCCTACAAGAGAGATAGAGATATAGACATGTTGTGATATGTGTTGAGTAAGAGTGAACTAACCTGTTCAACGATATCTCGAAGCTTTTGTAATTGATCTTTAATGTCTTTAACTTCATTCAATCCTTGTTCCAAATTACATTGTAGATTTGAATGAGAAGTGATGTTAGAAGTGTAGAATGGAGTTATAATGCTGAAAAGAATAATAATAAAGAAGAAGTACAAACACATGTATGTAGTTCAAACATAGATTACTATATGTTATAGTTTTAATAACATGTCACGATTTAGCATAATTTAGTTTTTAAAAATTTCAAAAAATCTAAAAATATTTCAAAAATGAAAGAATTTCTGTACAAATATTGACAATTTCAAACATTTTTTTTTGTGTGAAATGACAGCACAAAATCCGGTCAATTTTGCGGAAATAGCGCATTGGATGTCGTTTTCACCAATTTCTATTTCTTTCAATAATTTTTTTTTGTTGATGAAATATATGGAAGAAGACGAAATACTCACCTTTGAGCTGGTCTTGAATTGCCATTATCCGATCGTCGAGTTCTATAAAAAGAAAATATAACAAAGAGTTGATTGATGATGAAGGGAGGATAGTTTGAAACGATTACCTCAGCTTACAGCATGAGAATAATCCATTCAATGAAATCATTTTGAGGATAAATGAATAATGATAAAACTATTTCGAAATGGCGAAAGAGACAAATGAATGAGAAAAATTTTTTTTCTCATTCGTTATGAAATCCGTTCAGGACACACAACAACGAGAGAATGTGATTGAAATAAAAAATATTTTTTGATCATCAATTAATTGACCTCGATTAGATGTGAATGGTGTAATTAAACTAATTCAATTACCTTATGGCTCTTATAACTCCAGCTAGAAAACAGTCAGCCATTATAATTATTATATATTATAATATATTAATAACAATATATTATAATATTATATTTATCAATATGAAATATGACGAGGTGTACGGAAAGAAGAATGAGTGGACAAGGACTGTTCCTTCGGAAGAATGAAACGGACTGAGAGAGAGAGAAACGAGGAAATTGAGAGAAAACGAGAACCATCGAAATATGGGACAAACGAAAGAGAGTTTTAAGAAGGAATAATCTTCTTTCTTCTACGAATAATTTGCTTCAAAATGTTTACAAAAGTTTGAATTACTTTCTGCGTGAATGTGTTTACGTGTTTTCCATCGACTTTAAACATGAAAATTCATTTTGAGCGAATTATGTAGTAGTGAGCGGTTGTGTTGATTTACAATTTTGAGAGAATGAAAAAAAAAGATTGTAACTTACATGGTTGAAGGAACAGCTGGAACTGAAGTGGTTGGAATGATTACTGAATTGGTTACTCCAATGATGGCTGATGAATCAACATCCTCGGCTAGAGAACGATCGATTGAAATGAGAGTAGCCTTTTCAGCTTCGAAAGCTTCCATGTGACGAACGGCAGAGAGACGATCCATAGACTCAGAATGAGAGAATGTGTCTCCAACTAACATGGGTTGATCACTGAAATAAAAATTTCATTCATAAATGACTTCCACATTTTGTTTTTGAAATGTTACATGTTATAATATATTGAAACATGTCAAAACTTACAGAATTTCATCGTCTATCAATCCTTTGTCCTGATCATGGTTTCTTCCCAGCAGAGGAGAGCCTACGCTACGATCAAAGCCTGAAAAAATATTTTATGAATAGCAAATAAAATAGTTTTGTATTCATTCTATCTTAGCCTCTCTCTCTCTCTCACACTGTTTCAACAAGTCGGGACATCTTCGAAACATACCTATATTGCGTCTTCGATTCATTTAATATATTGGAAATAGTTAAGTTTAAAAAAAGCAAATTTTCCTGACTACTATACTATATAAAGCGTTAAGGAAGAGGCTGAATGAATAATAAGAAGAACAGAAAGCAGAGATGGGAAGGCGGAGATGCTTTGGTTCATCTGGCCGTGCACTGAAGATTCGCTTTAGGACGGATGCCATCCATTGAATTTGAATAAAATAAGAAGTAAAGTAAGATGAGAGATGAACTGCTAAAGTATTGAATGCGAGAAAGAGGAAAGAAAGAAAATCCTAAAACAGCATTGAGCGAAATCAGAGACGGTCAACATCATTGAAGGCTTGAATTAAGATGTGACAATAATTCTGCAGTCAGTAGTTGCATATTTTAGGGAAAAATCGATTTTTCTTATTTTTTTAGGTCTTTCAAGCAACTCCAGCTCTATCATAGAATACAAATGAAAACTATGAACTATCGAATAGTTAGTAATCATTCTATTCAATGAGTGGAACTCAATTATCACGATGATTGGAGTGGGATTCGTTAGAGAGATTAAGTACTCAAACATCTGTTCCCTCAAATTTTCAAGTCAAACTTACTGCTGCTGTTGAAGTTCCCATTGCCATCACTCTCTTCCTTGATTGTTTGAGCAAACGCTTGATCAGCAAATCTTCAACAGAATTATTCAACATGCTAAGAATGAAGAATAGATTAACCTTCTTCGACTCCATGGGCTGTTGTTCCATTTATCGAATGTGATTGGGTGATTCTCGACTAACGGCGAATTCTCTACAACGGTTGATTCAAATTCGGCCAACGGAGCTCTTCTTGAACTGGAAATAGTTTTAAGAACATGTATTTATCGATTATGTGTAAGACTTACTTAAAAGAGATGTCCATTGCAGGTCGATTTGAAGAGAAAGACATAGACTTTGGTGGAACAGCAGCCTGAAATATTAGTAAATTCAGAAAAAGAGAGAAAAACCAGTGTATAAACTAAAAAAATTTGAATTTAAAGGTGGAAAGGAAGAAAAGTTGTGGACGAACAAGAAAATCCATTAAGAACCTAAAAACGATACTTCGTCTTTGGCCCATTCCCCATCATCTAAGTCTTCTTCTTCCTTCCAAAAAAAACAAACGAAAGAAACGAGACATTGGCAGATTGTAATGAGTTTCTTCGTAAAAGAGCTTTCTATTTAACTTATGTATATAGTATCATACATATAGTTACTTGCTCAAAAGAAATCCATTGTAATCTATTACATTTTCTCATTTCTGACTTTCTAATTTTCACGCCAATGATCGCATGGCTAGGGGGAGTTATAGCTTTCGTTGGGTTGTAGAAACAAGGAACGGTTTCCATCTCCGAACGGAGATCAGAATAATTGAAACATAATCCTTTTTAATCAATCAAAAAATGTCTAATGTTTTAAGATGGAATGAGTGATAATAGCCCTCAAGGGATTATAACGATTATTCTTACAATTAGAGAAACGCAAGAAACTAACCTTCTGTAGGCGACGTTCCGAGCGACGGAAAAATGATGGGGCGAACATTCTGCCAGCACTTCGCAGTGATCTAAGAATTCTATTTTGAAGATTGAAGAAAAGTTGGATTTAAAATATATGTAGAATTGCTTGAAGCACAAGACAGGCAACTATTTTCTCTTTTTTTGAAAATCTAATTAGAACGAGCAATAGCAGCAGTAAGCTTGATGACGGACGATTGGCAATGAAAAGAAAAGCTTCTTCTACTTTTTTTCATGAGTTGCTCACTTCGAGTGGTTTGTGAAAAATTTTTTTACAAAGTAATCTCTAAACTTACCGAGTTGCCAATTGCACTTTAGCTGGTTTCTCTTTCTCCTCTTTTTTCTTATCGGCCTTTAAGATTTGAATCATCATTGATCTGAGTTAGTAATCTTACCTTGGCTGCTAACTTTCTCTCTCTCTTTGAAAGTTCCTTTGTTGAAGACAAACTGGATGACGTTGAAATCTCAGGACGCGATTCTGATGTTTTTATGGGAGAAGTCGATTTGGATGATAGAACAGCTCGAGGAGGAGATGGGGCACAGAAAACAGGCGGTCGTTGATCTGAATGAGATTTGAATAGATCGATAAATTTATTAAAAAAACCTTTTCTAATAAACGTTTCTTCCGGAATCGGTGACGTTCGAATACAAATACTTCTCAGTGGGAAATGAATTTCAGCCCCTTCATCTTCTGAGGGGGTTTGCTGAGTATCCATTGGAATTTCCTCTTCTGGAGAAGTCATTTCACCCTATAATGTATCACTTAGAAAGGTATATAATGCAGGCTGAACATACTGATATCACGCTCATTTTTCGTTCTGCTCGGTCGCTCTGGCTGTTTTCCTGAATCCCATCAAGATGAAGGGAAGATGGGTCAGGACGTCGTTCGATCGGAGCAGGACTTCGTCTTCCCATTACGAACAAAGTAGTACGTTCTGGAGAAAAAGATACGTCTCTCGCAAGAGAACTGGATTTCATGATGTCATCATCATCAGGTGGAATTTCCTCCTTTGGACTTTTTCTTGTCAGCAGAGGTGTTGTAGCAGTCAAGCAATACATTTCCGAAGTTTTCATACGTCTGCGAGGACCTTTGTCTTCATCATCGGTTGTTTCCGGTAAGTCAATCGACTTCTTCTTTTCTTGTATACTGAACTGATTGTATTTTCTCAAAGCCAGAGGAGTTGTTGCTTTCATTATGAAACGTTCAGGCGATTTCAGCTCTTCCTCATAAGGAGACTTCGAACGATCAGCAGCAGTAAAAGTAGAAGAACTTTTTAGTTTCTCTTTCTTTACTCTTGTTGTTTCTCGACCTCTTTGAAGATTGGTACACTCGCTTTGAGAAGACGGCAAATCAGTTTTTTTGTTCTCCACTACAAACGTTGTGAATTTCCTTAATGGCAGTGGAGTTCGGCTAGTAAGGATGAACCTGAAAAGAAATACTTAGAATTCATTATTTTCTGAAAGTCTACCTTTCTTGAGGTTTGTCTTCATCATCTACTCTGAACTGCTTTCTAGGCTCTTCCGACTTGGTTCTGGCTTTATGTGCAAGAGGTCCAACTGTTGCTATAGGCTCAGTCAGTTCTCCTTCTTCTATCCATGGCACATCAGGGCTTCGTGGTCTTTCCCCAATCATAAATGTATTATGCCGTCTTATTGTTAAAGGAGTTTTTGTGACTAAAACAAATCTTTCTCGAGGTACAGTGCTCTGCTCTGGTGTTGAACGCTGTCGTACAATTGCTTTTGTCTTTTTGATTTCTTTGCAGACTGTGTGTACTTTGACCTTTTCCGAAACCTCGACTTGAGGTTCGGAGCCTGCTTCTCCCACGACGAACGCCTGGTGTTTGCGAGTAGACAGAGGTGTTTTTGCAATCATCACATAACGTTCTGGACTTCTTGGCTCTTCTGGTGAT